TCAGTTGCTAAGTTGTGAAGAACAACTCCCTTATTGTGTAAGGGAAGGGTAATTTCCAGTGACCACCTCCCACTATGGAAGCCTAATGGACTAGATCACTCTCTCCCTACACTAACATAGTCAGAGAGACCTAAACTCAATCAGTGGGTGCTCTTTCCCAGGATTCTGACTCTTTGCAACTCCATGGGCTCCTCTTTCTTCACTGTCTCCTGGAGTTTGCTCAAACTAATGTCCATTGAGTTGGTGATGCTATCTAGCCATCTCATCCTCTGCTGCCCCCATCTCCTTTTGCCTTCAATCTTACCTAGAAGCAGGGTCTTTTCCAATGAGTTGGCTCCTTGCATCAGGTGGCTAAAGTTTTAGAGCTTCAGCAACAGTTCTTCCAATGAATATTCAGGGTTGATTTCCTTTAGGATTGACTGGTTTGATCTTGCAATCCAAGAGACTCTCAAGAGTCTTCTCCAACACCACAATTTGAAAGTATCCATTCTTCCCACTGTAATGTTGTGAAGTAATTAGCCTCCAACTAATAAAAATAAATGAAAAAAAAAAAAAGAAAGTATCCATTCTTTAGCGATCAGCCTTCTTTATGGTTCAACTCACACGTTCATACATGACTACTAGAAAAAACATAGCTTTCACTATATGGACTTTGTTGGCAAATGATTTCTTTGCTTTATAATATGCTATGTTTGTTATAGCTTTCCTTTCAAGGAGCAAGCACCTTTTAATTTCACGGCTGTAGTTACTGCCTGCAATGATTTTGGAGCCCAAGAAAATCAAATCTGCCACTGTTTCCACTGTTTCCCCATCTATTTGCCATGAAGTGATGGGACCAGATGCCATGATCTCAGGTTTTTGAGTGCTGAGTGAAAGACAGCCAGCCTTTTTGCTCTCTTCTCTCACCCTCATCAAGAGGCTCTTTAGTTCCTCTTCATCTTCTGCCATTAGAGTAGTGTTGTCTGCATATTTGAGGATGTTGATATTTCTTCCAGCAGTCTTGATTCCAGCTTGTGATTCATCCAGCCTGGCATTTTCCATGATGTCCTCTGCACAGAAGTGAAATAAACAGAGTGACAATATACAGCCTTGTTGTATTCCTTTCCCAACTTTGATACATGTCCTGTTCTAACTATTACTTCTTGACCCAAGTATAGGTTTCTCGGGAGACAGGTAAGGAAGTCGGTACTCTCATCTCTAAGAATTTTCCACAGTTTGTTGTCATCTACACAGTCAAAGGCTTTAGCGTGGTCAATGAAACAGAAGTAGATGTGTTTTGGAACTCCCTTGCTTTCTCCATGATTCAATGAATGTTGGCAATTTGATCTCTGGTTTCTCTGCCTCTTCAAAACCCAGCTTGTACATCTAGAAGTTCTTGGCTCACGTACTAGGCTAAAACCTAGGTTGAAGGATTTTGAGCATAATGTTGCTATCATGTAAAATGAGTGCAATTGTACAGTAGTTTGAATGTTCTTTGGCATTGCCCTTCTTTGGGACTGGAATGAAAACTGACCTTTTCAGTCCTGTCACCACTGCTGGGTTTTCCAAATTTGCTGGCATATTGAGTGCAGCACTTTAACAGCATCATCTTTTACAATTTGAAATAGCTCAGCTGGAATTCCATCACCTTCACTAGCCTTGTTTGTGGTAATATTTCCTAAGGCCCACTTGATTTCACACTCCAGGATATCTGACTTTAGGTGAGTAGCCACACCCTCGTGGTTATCCAGATCACTAAGACCTTTCTTGTATAATTTTGTGTATTTTTGCCACCCCATCTTAATCTCTTCTGCTTCTGTTAGGTCCTTGTGGTTTCTGTCCTTTACTGTGCCCATCCTTGCATGAAATTTTCCCTTGATATCTCTCATTTTGTTGAAGAAATCTGTCTTTCACATTCTGTTGTTTTCCTACATTTCTTTGCATTGTTCATTTAAGAAGGCCTTCTTATATCTTCTTGCTATTCTCTGGAACTCTGCATTCAGTTGGGAATATCTTTCCCTCTCTCCCTTGCCTTTTGCTTCTCTTCTTTCCTCAGCTATTTGTAAAGCCTTCTCAGACAACCACTTAGCCTTCTTGCCTTTCTATTTCTTTGGGATGGTTTTGGTCACTGCTTCTTGTACAACATTATGAACTTCCATCCATAGTTCTTCAGGCACTCTGTCTAGCAGATCCAATCCCTTGAATATATTCATCACCTCCACTGTGTAATCATAAGAGATTTTATTTAGGTCATACCTGAATTGCCTAGTGGTTTTCCCTACTTTCCTTAAGGTAAGCCTTAATTTTGCAATAAGGCGCTCATGATGTAAGCCACAGTCAGCTCCAGGCCTTGTTTTTTCCTGACTGTATAGTACTTCTCCATCTTTGGCTGCAAAGAGCATAATCAATCTGATTTCAGTATCACTCTCTGGTGGTGTCCATGTCCATGTGTAGAGTTGTCTCTTGTGTTGTTGGAAGAGGGTGTTTGCTATGACCAGTGTGCCCTGCTTCATTTTGTACTCCAAGGCCAAACTTGCCTTTTTTTCCCAGGTATCTCTTGACTTCCTACTTCTGCATTCCAATCCTCTATGATGAAAAGAACATTTTGTATGTATGTGCGTGTGTTAGATCTACAAGGTGTTGTGGGTCTACATAGAACCAGTCAACTTCAGCTTCTTCAGCATCAGTAGTTGGGGCATAGACTTGGATTACTGTTATGTTGAATGGTTTGCCTTGGAAAAGAACTGAGATTATTCTGTTGTTTTTGAGACTGCACCCAAGTACGGCATTTCAGACTCTTTTGTTGACTATGAGGGCTATTCCATTTCTTCTGAGGGACTCTTGTCTACAGTAGTAGATATAATGATCATCTGAATTAAATGTGACCATTCCTGTCCAATTTAGTTCACTGATTCCTAAGATGTCAATGTTCAGTCTTGCCATCTCCTGCCTGACCACATCCAATTTACCTTGATTCATGGACCTAACATTCCAGGTTCAAATGCAATATTGTTCTTTACAGAATCAGACTGTACTCTCACCACCAGACACATCCACAACTGAGCATCATCTCTACTTTAGCCCAGCTGCTTCATTCTTACTAGAGCTATTATTAATTGCCCTCTGCTCTTCCCCAGTAGCATATTGGATCACAGGCTTGTCATGGCAAAAGGGCTTGTGTAACTCAGTGAAGCTAAGAGCCATGCTGCGCAGGGCCACTCAAGATGGATGGATCATAGTGAAGAGTTCTGAAAAAATGTGGCCCACTGGAGGAGGGAATGGCAAACCACTCCAGTATTCTTGCCTGGATAACCCTGTGGACAGTATGAAAAGGCAAAAAAGACATGCTGCTGGAAGATAAACCTCCCAGGTTGGGATGTGTCCTATATATCCTGGGGGAAGAGTAGATGGCAATAGGGGTGGGGTGACCCCAAATATGAGCTTCCCAGGTGGCACTAGTGGTAAAGAACCTGCCTGCCAGTGAAGGAAATTTAAGAGACATGGGTTCAGCCCTTGGGTCGGGAAGATCCCCTGGAGGAGCACATGGCAACCCACTCTGGTATTCTTGTCTGGAGAATCCCATGGACAAAGGAGCCTGGTGAGCTACAGTCTGGGGGTTGCAAAGAGTCAGACACAAATGAAGCAACTTAGCATGCACACACAACCCCAAATAGAAACTGGCAGACTAGAAGAAGAGGGGGGAACAAATGTCAAACATCCAAATACTCATGAATATCCACCTCTGGTCCCACCAGACTGGTTGTCTCATCTCACATTCCATATAAAGCAACCAGTGCTTACTGTATTCTTCATCTGACATGCCACATTCAGGCTTCTGTGAAGCCGTAGTACTTGCTCTGCCTGGAAGCCCTTCTCTCCCTTTCCCACCTGCAACTTCCTATTCTTTGTGAAGATGTGTTTAAGAGGCCCCTTCCATTTGGAGGGAGAGCTGGTTTCTCATCAGATGGAAGGAGCCAGTATGGGACCAGTTCTGGGCCACAGACTGTATTCAGGAACTGAAATCAAGACCTGATGAAGGTGCTTTCACCTTAATGAGTCGTCTATACATCTCATGGTTTCACTTTCATCATGGTCTTATTAGCCATTACTTCCACTTTTGAAAACAATTGTTGAAGTGGTGCCTCTACTCCTGCCTTACTGTTGCTGTGTTTCTGTCCCAGGAAATATTCCATGACCTGCCTCTCTTCCATCAGAATCAAGAATTTGCTATATTCTGTCTTCATTTCCCACAAATTACTTTGGATCAGTCAGGACTTCTTTGATTGAAAATGATGGAAGTCGATTCAAATTGATTTTAATTGGTACATGTAACTGAGAATTCTTGAGGCTATCTCTAGTTTTAGGATCCAGATTTTTCAAACAAAACAATCAATAATCACTCTACCTGTATTATCAAATGCTGGATAGCAAATAATCCTAAAATTTATGGCTTAAAACAACAAAAATCAAGGATTTTCACAACTTCAGAGGTTCAAGAATTTAGGAGCTGTTTAGCTGGATGGTCTGGCTTGAGGTCTCTACTGAGGTTGCAGGCCAGATGCTTGTTGGGGCTGCAATATCCATGTCAAAAGTGTTCATTCACATGACTGTCCAGTTGGTGCTGATTGTTGGCTCAAGACTTGACTTTCTTCCCTCATGGGCCTCCCTGAAGGGTTACTTGAGTGTCCCCACAGCATGGCAGCTGGCCTCCCCCAAAGTGAGTGATCCATGAGACCAAGACTGAAGCTGTGATCCCTTTTATGACCTGGGCTCACAAGTAAAACATAATCATTTCTGCCATATTCTACTGGATACAGAACAGCTCTGACCCAGTGTAGGAAGAGACTATTCAAGGTCATGAATTCCAGGAGGTGAGGGTCTATGGGTACCATCTAGGAGGTTGCTTCCTATAGCCTTCTTTCATCCTCCCTTCCCTGTTCACTCTGCTATTCCTATATGTATGCTTCATTCTCAGGCAGGACCTCCCCAGGCAGTGACAGAGATGGCCATCAACATCTCCAGGATTGCATTCTTAGGGACTCCAAGAGGAAGAAAGTACCTTTATCCTAAAAGTTCTGGTGAGAAGTCCAAAGGCTGACTCCGATTGGCCAAACTTGTGTATGGCTTATCCCTGAACCAATCCCTGTGGTCTAGAAATACCATACTCTGATTGGCCAGACCTAGGCCACACCCCCCAGCCTAGAACTGAGGGTAGAGTGGGCAGCACTAGAGACTCATGGAGGGGGATGAAGGAGGAATGATTTTCAAAGGAAAAATCAGGGTATCCTTACTGAACCAAGATAAATGGCTGTTAGGAAGGAAAAATAATACATGCTGAACACATCTCCCTTCCTTGTGCTCCAATTGCATATTTTAGCACTTCTTGGTTTAGTAATTTTGGTATTTTTTCCATGGGATCATTTACTTACTTTGTAGGTAGAACTCTAAGATGGCCCCCAAGACCCCAGTGTAAGCATACCTTCTCCCAGTTATTTAATCAAATGCTAATCTAGAGGCTTCTGTACAAGAATGCTATGAATATAAGTAAGGTCCTAAATCAGTTGACCTTAAGAGAGGGAGATTTTCCTTAGTGGGTCTGACCTAATCAGATGAATCCTTAAAAGGGACAGGGTTCTTCCTAACAGAGGAAATTCAAAGGGTGAGAAAGAGTCAACATGGCAGAGATTCTCTGTTGTTGGCTTGGAAAATTGAAGGGACTCTATGGCAAGAAATGCAGGAAGCTTCTAGCAGTTGAGGGCAGCCCCTAGCTGATGGCTTGCAAGGAAGCAGGGACCTCATTTTCTATAAATGCAAAAACCTGAATTCTGCCAATGGCCTGAATGACCTTGGAAGGGAATTTTTCCCCAGAGCCTCCAGAGAACTCGGCCTTGAACTCAGTTTTGTGAAACTGAGCAGAAAACTGAGTCACACAGTGTAGGACTTTAGACCCAGAGATTTGTGAACTAACTATGGGTATTATTTTAATCTGCAAAGTTTGTAGTTAATTTTAGACAGCAATAGAAAATGAATACACTTCCCCATTGGAGAAGGAAATGGCAACCCACTCCAGTGTTCTTGCCTGTGACATTCCATGGACAGAGGAGCCTGGTGGACTACAGTCCATGGGGTCGCAAGAGTCTAACATGACTTAGCAATGAAACAACAAGATACTTCCCCATGGACTCTCAGATTCCTAAAGTAGGGAGCTTCTTTTGGATTTCCTTACCCTCCTCATCCCCAGTAGGACCAGAAATGAGGCAACCCCTCTTCCTGCTTCCAGTTCTACTATCTGAGAAAGATGGGGAGAGCCCCACTCCTTATTATTCTACTGCCATCCACCAGCTCCCAGCTTTCCCATCCTTAGGGGTTCATCAGGGAAACTCTTTGCTTGACTTCCCATAAACAGCCTAGAAGGGCAGCTCAACCAATCTCTGCTCCCCAGGCCTCAGGGACCTTTGACCAGTTCTATTGATCTGGACTCCTGGTCAAGTGGTTGGACCAACAGACAGACGCCATGAGGGCTCTGCTGCTCCTGGGGGCCCTGCTGGTGAGCCTGGAGTCAACGGTTTCGGTGAGGACTGTGGGAACCAGGAGGATTATACTGGGATGGCCCTGGTGGGTTCCTGTCACGGCTTTGGCCTCTGACCATGACCTTTTGGCCCAGGAGATTGGAAGTCCTGTTTGGAAAGACGAGGCAAGCCCCTAAGGCCCAAGTAGAGGAGAGAGAGAATAGACAGACTGGTGGCTATGAGAATGTGGCCTGCATTTCTGGGGGAGAGGGAAATTGAGGAGACAGCAGGAGGAGTGAAGAGGGGTCCAGGCCTTTGGAAGAAATCTCTGCAGTTCGGGGCTGTGAGAGGAAGCTGGGGAGTAGCATGGGACGGGAGCAGGCAATGACTTTCTGGCAAAATTCCCTCTCTTCTTCTCTCCTCCATAGACTCCACCTTGGAAAGGCCCCAAGAAGCAGAAACTCACAGAGAGTGAGCACACAGTGGGTAAGTAGCCTGGGACCACCTCCAGAGAGTGCCTGGGACCAGGATGAGTCATGGTAGGGGTGTGCAGATTGTTAGTCTCTGGCCCTTGGAGTGGGAGGGAGGATCCTGGGCACTCTTCACTCTTACCCCGGAGTTGTCTTGCTGGCATTCAGACCTGGGTGCATGCCATATGTCGGGTCTTGTGCAAGTGGGTGTTGCAGACCCAGAGTGGATAGTGAGCTGTGTGCTCCTTGAGGGCAGGTTGGGGCTATATCTGAGTGCCTGGCCCAGCTCCTGCTCTTCTTCCTCAGCCTCCCAGGCCTGTCTCACCCTTTCCTCTTCTCGATGTATCTCACAGGCACCAGGCATGCCACACAAAGGCCAGGGCCCTTGACAGACAAGAAAGGATTGAGAGCAGGGCTTTAGAGCCCAAATGCTTCTGAATCCCAGCTTCATCACTCATGTGCTGGGTGGCTCTGGGTCAGTGACTTGACTTCTCCAAGCTTAAATTTCCCCACCTGTAAAACCAGGCTGGTAATGGTAAAACTCTTAAGGTTGCTGAGAAGGAGAAATGAGTCATTTATCCTGGTGAGACACTCAGCCCACATTTTGGTGCATGGTAAATGCTTAAAATATACTGACTTTTATTATCAAGTTTCCTTTTAGATGGGGGATATCTGCCATCTCCCCCTAGCTCCCTATTGTCTTTATTCTTCTAAACACTAAATATTTACCTAGAGTTGCAAACTAGAGCTTGCTCTGGTAAGCCTGACCTGGTGGGATGAGACACAGTCCCTCAGCATGGCCCTGAGGCCCAGCCCAGCCAACCCTGACTACCTCATCTCTCTTCAGCACTTCGCACCCAGCCAAATGGCTCTCCTCCCTCTAGCCTGACCCAGCCTAGCTGCTCTGTCCTTGCCTCACCACCAACTTAAGGTTCTCCATTCCATCTGGGCCTCCCTTGTGGCTCAGCTGGTAAAGAATCTGCCTGCAATGTGGGAGACCTGGGTTTGATCCCTGGGTTGGGAAGATCCCCTGGAGAAGGGAAAGGCTACCCACTCCAGTATTCTGGCCTGGAGAATTCCATGGACTATACAGTCAAAAAGAGTTGGACATGACTGAGCGATTTTCACTTGCTTTTTTTTCATTCCATTTGCATCTTAAAGGTCTATCTCAAATGCTTCTCCCTCTTTCTTTACTATCCTGTCCGTGATTTAGCCCTCAGCACAAGTGCCACTATACCTTTAAGGACAAAATATGAGCTAATGTATATCAAACACAGACTCTCAGTGTTTTACAGACACAATCTCATTTAAGTTTCACAACACTCATTTGAAGTATATACAGTCAGTTCTCATTATTCCTAGCAGTCATGTTCTATAAAGTCACCATGAACACTGAATTAGCAAAAACCAAACTATTACTCCTAGAGGAAATAATAGGGTTAGGTTCCTGTGAGCTCTGGTTACATTTTCATCAACCATCAATACATAACCTTGCCTTATGTGTGATTTTGTTTAAAGACATTTTACTTAATAGATGTTGTTGATTCATTGATATTGAACTCATGGCCAGCGGCACTATTAGCTCACACCTGGATGAAGCTTATCTAGTCCGAAAATGTCCTCTATAATATACATCACAGCCCTCTTGTGCATAGGAACACTGGACCACACTCCAGCACTCTACTTGGCAGCCATTTGCAAGCAAAATCATTTACCAAAAGCACAAAATTTGAAAATGTGGCACTAAATAGAGTGTGAAAAGGACACTTGTTTACAGTAGGAGCTGAACAAGAAGTAGAGCATCACTTCATTTGACCTTAGCTGGGAATGTGCACTTCGGGTGACTCAAATTTTTCACCACTCTGTACATGTCTACAAATGATCGTGAAAGCACCTTGAGTATTGGTTTGAGGTTACAGATAAATTTTAGCAAGACATGTAGATAAGCAAACACAGAATCTGAATAATGAAGCTCAACTGTACTATTTTTTTAAAATTATGATATCAATATTTTTATTGTAAAAACTACAGAAGTTACAGAAATAGAAGAGAAGGAAAAGTTACGCACAATCCACTATCTTCCAAAAACCACTTTTACAAATTTTGGAGATATTCTTCTAGATTTATTTTTTATGCATATGTAAAAATACTTGTAAAAAATAGGACATGCTGTTTTTTACTTACTTTATTTAAAATTATGAATATCTTTCTGTACAAATAGACCTATATCATTATTTTTTTATTGTGGTAAAATACACATAACATAAAATGCTCTACCTCAACTATTTAATTATTTCTTTGGCTGCAGTGGGTCTTTGTTGAGGCACATTGGGACCTCCCTAGTTGCAAAACCTATGATTTAGAGCACACGTTCAGTAGTTGCAGCACTCGGGACTTAATTGCCCCACAGCTTGTGGGATCTTAGTTCCCTGATCAGGGATCAAACCCACATCCCCTGCATTGACAGGTGGACTCCTAACCACTGGATTACCAGGGAAGTCCCTATCTCAACCATTTTTTAAGTCCAGTTCAGTGGTATTAAGTATGATAATATTGTTGTGCAATCCTTACCACCATCCATCTCTACAATTCTTTTCATCTTGCAAAACCTAAACCCTTCATCTTAACTATGTATTATTTTTGCCATTTTAGACATGAGGCAAGTAAGGCTCAGAATGGTCAAGTAACTTCAACATTCAGCAAGTATTTATTAAGTGCCTGCTTTGTGGCAAGCAGTCTTCTAGGCCTGGGGGCTACAGATTTGTCCGAAGTCACCCAGTTAGTAGTTGGTGGAGTCAGGAGTCCATTCCAGCTGTGAGACTCCAGAACCCAACTCTTAAGCCAGGATGTGGTCTTGAAGGTAGGGCTTCCCAGGTGGCACTAGTGGTAAAGAACCCGCTTGCCAATACAGGAGACGTAAGAGACACAGGTTCAACCCCTGGATCCTCTGGAGAAGGGCATGGCATCCCACTCTAGTATTCCTGCCTGGATAATCCCCATAGCGTGCACGCATGGCCTTGAAGGTCTTTTCAAAGGTCTGTCCTTTTTCCAACCAGACTCTGAGGGTGGTCCTTGGTCAATGGGGGCACAGGGAAAGGCATTAAGGAGTGTGTTATCCTTACAGTTCTCACTGTCACCGGGGAACCCTGCCACTTCCCCTTCCAGTACCACCGGCAGCTGTATCATAAATGCATCCACAGAGGCCGGCCAGGCCCCCGACCTTGGTAAGACTACCCACAAAGGGTTGGAGCAGGGGTCTGCCCACCCTTCTGTCCAGGGAACCCTGCTTGAAGAGAGGGGGTTGTGATAGGGGAGGTGAGCTTAGCCTCTTGGGCAGAGCAAGGAAGACTTGTCTCTTTCTTTTATTTATTGAAGTATAGTTGATTGACAATGTTGTGTTGGTTCCAGGTGTGCTGCAAAAGGATTCAGTTATATATATATACGTATACATGGGCTTCCCTAATGGCTTAACTGGTAAAGAATCCGCCTACAATGCGGGAGCCTGGGTTCAATCCTTGGGTTGGGAAGATCCCCTGGAGAAGGGAAAGGCTACCCACTCCAGTATTCTGGCCTGGAGAATACATATGTGTGTGTGCGTGTGTGTGTGTGTGTGTGTTATTATAAGACATTGAAAATAATTACTTGTGGATGGGGAACACATGTAAATCCATGGCTGATTCATGTCAATGTATGGCAAAAACCACTACAATATTGTAAAGTAATTAGCCTCCAACTAATAAAAATAATTGGGAAAAAGAAAAAAGAAAAAAAAAAAGAAAATAATTACTTGTGTAATACAGTAAATCCTTGTTGCTTATCTATTTCATGTATAGTAGTTTCTCTCCATTAATCTCATATTCCTAATTTATCCTCTTCCTTTCCACTTTAGTAGCTGTAAGTTTGTTTTCTATGTCTGTGAGTCTGTTTCTATTTTGTACATAGATTCACTTGTATTATTGTTTAGATTCCACATATAAGTGATATCATATAATAGTTATCTTTATCTGACTTGCTTCACTTAGTATACTAATTCCCTAGGTCCATCCATGTTGCTGCAAATGGTGACATTTTATTCTTTTGTTAAGGCTGAGTAACATTTCATTGTGTATGTACCACCTCTCCTTAAACCAATCATCTTTTGACAGGCACTTGGGTCACTTCCACATCTTAAGCTTCCTCTCTTTCTACAGGTGTGCTACCACCCCCAACTTTGAGAAGGACCAACGATGGGCATACTGCCTGGAACCCAAGAAAGTGAAAGGTGCCATACAGCCTTTGGAGTGACCCAGGGCCCTCTCCCCACCCCTAGCTCCGCTCCTGGGTATCATCAGGCCCCAAATACATGGGATTCTGGGCCCACCTATCTCCTTCTCCCCCAGAGGGAGAAGTTCTAAGAGTGGGTAGCCTCATTTTGCAGGTGGGTAAACTAAGGCTTGGAAACTTGGAGGGCCAAGGTCAAAAGACAAGCACGTTTGGGTAGGGACTTGGCCCCCATCTGTCTGACTCAGGCTCCCTGCTCTTTCTCCCTCTGTGTCCATCTCTCAGACCACTGCAGCAAACACAATCCCTGCCAGAAGGGAGGGACCTGTGTGAACATGCCCGATGGCCCTCACTGCATCTGTGCAGATCACCTCACTGGGAAGCACTGCCAGAAAGGTGAGGAGATGCTGAGGCCAGGGATGGGGGCACTGGGGAACAGGGGCAGCCTCAGACCCACGAAGAAGTCCTGTGGATTCCTGGAGACTTGGCATGGTCCCTCTTCTCCTTTTGTCCCCAGAGAAATGCTTTGAGCCCCAGTTTTTCCGGTTCTTCCACGAGAATGAAATATGGCACAGGCTTGAGCCAGCCGGTGTGGTCAAGTGCCAATGCAAGGGTCCAAATGCCCAATGCAAGCCACTGGCCAGCCAGGGTGAGTAGACTGGTGGGGAGCTGGGCAGGGACCAGAGTGGACGGTGAGGAAGAAAGGCTGGCAGGAGGCCAGGTGGTGTGCCAGTGTAAGAGGGAGCTCTCTGAGCCGTCTTTGGGCCTAGGGATGACTCAAAGTGCTCCTTCTCCCAGTCTGCCGCACCAACCCGTGTCTCAACGGGGGCAGCTGCCTACAGGCGGAGGGCCACCGCCTGTGCCGTTGCCCCCCTAGCTTCGCGGGACGTTTGTGCGATGTAGGTGAGTTAAGGTCTCTAGGAAGCGGAAGCCCCACCCCACGTCGGAAGGACTTGTAGAGAGGGAGGAGGGGGAGTGGCGCCGTGGGTGAGAGGGCAGCTGGGGGCAGGGAGGAGGGACCAAATCATCACCTAGCAGCGGGGAGCCTCCTCTCTCCCCAGACCTCAAGGCGAGTTGCTACGACGACCGCGGACTCAGCTACCGAGGCATGGCCAGGACCACGCTGTCCGGAGCACCCTGTCAGTCGTGGGCCTCCGAGGCCACCTACTGGAATGTGACCGCAGAGCAAGTGCTGAACTGGGGACTGGGCGACCACGCCTTCTGCCGGTGCGCGCGTGGGACGCGGCTGGAAGTCCCCTTCCGCTCCAGGGCCCTTCTAGGGCTTCTCACATTCGAAACAGCGCCTCCACCTCACCTCGTGGTTACAGGAACCCCGACAACGACACCCGCCCGTGGTGCTTCATTTGGAAAGGCGACCGACTGAGCTGGAATTACTGCCGCCTGGCACCTTGCCAGGCCGCAGCTAGGCACGAGGTCTTCCCCTTGCCCTCGCCGTCGGCTTCGGAGAAACCTGAGTCCACGACCCAGACCCCGCTTCCATCCCTGACTTCAGGTAGTTAGAAGGGGTCGAGCGGAGAGGGCGCGGGACGAGCTATATTCCAACCGATCGACCGTGGGTCTCTAGGGCCTCAGCCTGGTGTCTTCCCACAGGCTGGTGCTCGCCGCCCGAACAGCCGACTCCTCTGGCCGGCGCAGGCCCCGAGGGCTGTGGACAGCGGCTCCGCAAAGGGCTGTCCTCGCTGAACCGCGTCGTCGGAGGACTGGTGGCGCTCCCCGGGGCACACCCCTACATCGCCGCGCTGTACTGGGGCCAACATTTCTGCGCCGGCAGCCTCATTGCTCCCTGTTGGGTGCTGACTGCGGCTCACTGCCTGCAGAACCGGCGAGTGTCCTCGAGCTCAGCTCCCCGCCCGGGACCCCCCTAGCGCCTCTCTCCTCTGCGCTCAGCTTCCGCGCGACACCCGAACTCGTGCGCTACCTCTCTGCGTCCCCGCCCACATTTGCCCCCTTCTCCCTTTCAGAGCTTCCCAGGAGGAAGCCGAAACCTATTTGGAGGTTCGGAAGAAGGGGGCTCCCGCAGGATGCCTGTGGCCCGCTCTGAGCGCGCTTCCTTTTCCCGACCCTATCCCCAGACCCGCGCCGGAGGAGCTGACCGTGGTGCTCGGCCAGGACCGCCACAACCAGAGCTGTGAGCAGTGCCAGACGCTGGCAGTGCGGGACTACCGCCTGCATGAGGCCTTCTCCCCCATCACCTACCAGCACGACCTGGGTGCGTGGAGGAACCCCCGCGGGGATCAGGGAAAAGGGTGGGCAGAGCTCGAAGTCCGGGCGTCCCTGTCTCACGCTTCTCGCCCGGGTTAGCTCTGGTGCGCCTGCAGGAGAACGCGGACGGCTGTTGCGCGCACCCGTCGCCTTTCGTTCAGCCAGTATGCCTGCCGAGTAGCGCCGGCCGCCCCGCCGAATCCGAAGCCGCAGTCTGCGAGGTGGCCGGCTGGGGTCACCAGTTCGAGGGTAGGCAGATCGGCTGGAAGCGGGAGGGAGGCCTCTGGCCACCGGGGTAGGCAAGAGAAGCCTGCGGGTGGGCAGGTGGGGTCTATCTGGTGGATTGTGGAGACGTTCGGGGCCCCTGTCTCTGCAGTCTGCTTCTCCAAGGGCTTGAAATTCACTCCTGGGGGAGTAGGGGAGTCCCCAGAACTCCTGTGGTGAAGCGGGAGACCCGCACGTTCTCTGGGTTCCCTCTGGGCACTGGGCTGCAAGGGCTACTAGAACGCTGGCCCGCGATGGAGCCGCAGGTGGGTTGGATGGGGAGCAAGGTTTTGAGCCACTGGATGGGAAGTGGGGGTGGGGTTCAGAAGCAGTCCTGTTTCCTCCTGGTCGGTTCTCATCACAGCTCCTCTCTGGCTTCCTGTCTATGAGGTAGGTGTTAAAGGCAACTCATTCCCTTCCGGGCTTGCTGCGAGGGAGACAGGAGATTATAGCGGGTTTGAAAGAGCCTGGTAAAGCCAGGTCCATGGCCTGGGCGTCAAGCAGACTCTGGAGGGGTGTGAGGAGGGTGCTCTCGGTTCGCAGGTGGGGAATATTCCAGCTTCCTGCAGGAGGCTCAGGTGCCGCTCATCGACCCGGAGCGCTGCTCCGCCCCCGACGTGCACGGAGCCGCCTTCACCCGCGGCATGCTCTGCGCTGGCTTCCTCGAGGGCGGCACCGACGCGTGCCAGGTGAGCCTGGGGCCCGCTTGGCGCCCTTCCCCAACCCAGTCAAGGGTGGACTCCCAGCCAAGGATGCTGAGCCGCGTGTCCCCAACCCAGGGTGACTCCGGAGGCCCTCTGGTGTGTGAGGATGAGACCCCTGAGCGCCAGCTCATCCTGCGAGGCATAGTCAGCTGGGGCTCAGGTTGCGGCAACCGCTTCAAGCCGGGTGTTTACACCGACGTGGCCAACTACATAGCCTGGATTCGGGAGCACACGGCTTCCTGACAGCCCGGCGACTGTCTTTCCCTTCTGAGCAGTTCTGGAATGGAAGCGTGGCTGACGGGGAGCATTATGGATAGCAAAGATTGTTTTCCATTCCCCCAGCGCTTCCAGCCCAGGGCTGGGCATAGGCACTCAATAAAGTGCTTTTGAAGATGCTTGAAAGGTTCAGTCTTCAAGGTCCTGTTGGGAAACGCCAAGACAGTTTGTGCCCTGTGCTTAGTCGCTCAGTCGTGTCCGACTCTTTTGCAACCCCATGGACTGTAACCTGTCAGGCTCCTCTGTCCTTGGAGATTCTCCAGGCAAGAATATTGGAGTGGGTTGCCATGCCCTCCTCCAGGAGATTTTCCCAACCCAGGGATCGAACCCAGGTCTCCCGCATTGCAGGCGGATTCTTTACCCAAAACAGTATACCGGTACTCAACTTCTTCAGGCCCAGTCAGAGTACAGAATCTATTGAGATCTGATGCAAGATTTAAATTCACGTTCAGCTGATATTTACTAAGTCACACTGTGTACCAAACCAGGTGATTCCATGAATATGAAACTAATATTTTAAGTTTACAGGAGTTCTCAACTTTGACTGTACATCAAATCACCTTGGGGAGCTTTTTGAACCTATGCCCAACATCCACCTCAGGTCAACTAAATCAATATTTTAGGGATGGGAGTGGGTGGCCGGATGTTTTTTAAAACTCCCCAGGTGATTCTATCCACAGTGGAGGTTGAGAACCATGGTTAGAGGTACTTAACATTAGAGAGTTCCCTGGCAGTTCAGTGGTTGAGACTCCATGCTTTCAATACAGGGGGTGCAATCCCTGGTGGGGGAACTAAGATCCTACGTGCTGCTACCAAAAGATATATATATATAAAGTACTCAACATTAAAACAGTGGCGTGAGCCCTTAAGGCTGCTGGCGTGGAAGCCCCTTCTGCTGCTTCTGCTGCTAAGTCGCTTCAGTCGTGTCCGACTCTGTGAGACCTCATAGAGGGCAGCGCACCAGGCTCCCCTATCCCTGGGATTCTCCAGGCAAGAACACTGGAGTGGGTTGCCGTTTCCTTCTCCAATGCAGGAAAGTGAAAGTGAAGTCACTCAGTTGTGTCCAACTCTTAGTGACCCCATGGATTGCAGCCTACCAGGCTCCTCCGTCCATTCCAGGCAAGAGTACTGGAGTGGGTTGTCATTGCAAGGAAGCCCCTTACCCCTGCCCCAGTTCTCACTAGGGCAGTGGATCTCGAAGTGTGTTTCCTGGACCGTCAGCAGGGAACTTGTTAGACATGCATTTTCTCTGGCTACATCCCACAGTACAGGATGAGAGAAAATCTGAGTTGGGACCCAGCAATCTATTTAACAGCTTTCCAGGAGATTCTGATACTCCTCATGTCTGAGAACCACATTCTTTAGGATTGAATGGTTATCAGACCTGAGCGGTCTGGCTGTCCAGACAGGGCACCTTTCTTTTTTGTTTTTAAACTCATGTATGCAGAGTGCATCATGAGAAACGCTGGGCAGGAAGAAGCACAAGCTGTAATCAAAATTGCTGGGAGAAATATCAATAACCTCAGATATGCAGATGACACCACCCTTATGGCAGAAAGTGAAAATGAACTAAAAAGCCTCTTGATGAAAGTGAAAGAGGAGAGTGAAAAAGTTGGCTTAAAGCTTAACATTCAGAAAACTAAGATCATGGCATCTCATCCCATCACTTCATGGGAAATAGATGGGGAGACAGTGGAAACAGTGTCAGACTTTATTTTTTTGGGCTCCAAAATCACTGCAGATGGTGATTGCAGCCATGAAATTAAAAGATGCTTACTCCTTGGAAGGAAAGTTATGACCAACATAGATAGCATATTAAAAAGCAGAGACATTACTTTGCCAACAAAGGTCCATCTGGTCAACGCTATGGTTTTTCCAGTGGTCATGTATGGATATGAGAGTTGGACTGTGAAGAAAGCTGAGTGCTGAAAAATTGATGCTTTTGAACTATGGTGTTGGAGAAGACTTTCGAGAGTCCCTTGGACTGCAAGGAGATCCAACCAGTCCATCCTAAAGGAGATCAGTCCTGGGTGTTCATTGGAAGGACTGATGCTGAAGCTGAAACTCCAGTACTTTGGCCACCTCATGTGAAGAGTTGACTCATTGGAAAAGACCCTGATGCTGGGAGGGATTGGGGGCAGGAGGAGAAGGGGACAACAGAGGATGAGATGGTTGGATGGCATCACCGACTCAATGGACATGAGTTTGAGTAAACTCTGGGAGTTGGTGATGGACAGGGAGGCCTGGTGTGCTGTGATTCATGGGGTCCCAAAGAGTCGGACACAACTGAGCGACTGAACTGAACTGATGCTGTTTTTGAGGAGAAGGCAATGGCACCCTACTCCAGTACTCTTGCCTGGAAAATCCCATGGACGGAGGAGCCTGGTAGGCTACAGTCCATGGGGTCGCTAACAGTTGGACACGACTCAGCGACTTCACTTTCACTTTTCACTTTCCTGCATTGGAGAAGGAAACGGCAACCCACTCCAGTGTTCTTGCCTGGAGAATCCCAGGGACGGGGGAGCCTGGTGGGCTGCCCTCTATGAGGTTGCACAGAGTCGGACACGACTGAAGCGACTTAGCAGCAGCAGCATGTTGTTCTTGATGGATCATTTAAGCACTTTGTTGTTGTTGTCTGACAGCTAGACTGCTGTGCAATTCAATCCTTCAGGCCAACTTTAAAACTTCATCAGGCAATAGGTACGAACGCGGCCCCACCCCCACCCTATTCTCCAGCGTAGGCAACCCCTATGTGATGTCACGGTTGCCTCAACGTCATAACCACGCCCCTGAATACGTCATAGTGTCCTGGGCATTCTAGGCACGTGGTGCCGCTGGACGACCCTGGAAAGTGCGAAGCGAGGGGTGCACTCTGAGCCGGAATGGGCGACTGGAAAGGTTACATCAGTGCAGTGCTTCGGGACCAGCGCATCGACGACGTAGCCATCGTGGGCCACTCGGACAATCGCTGCGTGTGGGCCTCGAGGCCTGGGGGCCTGCTGGCAGCCATCTCACCGCAGGAGGTGGGTGTGCTCACTGGGCCAGACCGGAGCACCTTCCTCCAGGCGGGGCTGTGCGTGGCGGGCCGCCGTTGCTGCGTCATCCGAGACCACCTGCTGGCCGAGGGCGACGGAGTGCTGGACGCGCGCACCAAGGGTCTGGACGGGCGCGCCATCTGCGTGGGCCACACGCCTCGGGCGCTGCTCGTGCTCATGGGCCGGCGGGGCGTGCACGGGGGCATTCTCAACAAGACGATGCACGAGCTGATCCATGGGCTGCGCTCGCGGGGCACCTAGCAGGACAGCCGGCCAATCCAGAATAAAGTCTGACCTGGGCGTGGCAGATCACACTCCAGTTGTGAGGGGGAGTAGGGGGAATTGCTGATGAGGAAGGTACTTTACTAGATCCTTGCAGAAGGTGTCTGATGAGGTTGGTATTATGAGTCCAGAGGCTTCCCAGCCTGCTAGGCTCTATCTCAGGACCTCCCATGGGTGCCCTGCCTCTGGACAACTCCCTAGGCCAGAGTCTGAAGGCCTTGGTGCCTCCCCAGGTTCCCTAGGGACACCCAAGCTAAGGAGGGGGTAGCCTCCTCAAACGCTCCAACTCAGACCTGAGTATCCTTTCCCATAAAACTTCTACAAGTCTGTGTGGGACAGACTCTAAAGGAAGTCCCCTCCCCACCCTCCAACACCACTCCCTAAGCTGGGACCAGTGTAATTCTCACCTCCACCTAGCAAGAAGATGCACTAGCAAGGACTGTGGGTGGGTAACATGATGGGGTTGGTAGCTTGGAGAACAGCTCTGGGGCTTCCAGGCCCTTGCATCCCCCCACAACACTTCAAAGGGGGTGGATGTGGGGATGGGGAGGCAAGTGTTGTAAACCATCACAACTAGATACCGGGCCCCACAGTCTTCTGCCACTTTGGGGTCCAAAGGCCCCAGAGATGTCCCTGGACTAGAGGGAGGAGCTTTGGCATTGCCCGCCCTTTGCCTCTCCTTCTGCAGACCTCTGCTCAGGGGGCCCTATGGGGGAGGAGGAATTGAAAAAGTTGGGTGGGCGTAAATGAAGCCTGGTTTACCACCCAAAGGCAGAGTATAAAATGGGAGGGAAAGTGGCTGGTCTCTGCCCGCTGCGCATTGGGGCCCAGGGCATGGCTTCTCTTGCCCATCTCCACCCTCCCTCTCCTTCCTCCAGTAGCCCTGATGGGCCCCCACCTGTCACTGGGTTTCTGGAGAACTGATTTTATCCCAGAGTAGGGGAAGGAGACAGGTAGAGAGCAGAGGTCAGCCTGCTGGGTATAGAGGTGCACGGAGCCCTCCTTCCACTTCCCTTAAGGTAGCCCTCACGGGGGCTTCCAGGGAGTTTGAATTGTGGATTGGACTCATTAGGCAGGGTCAAGAGGATTGTTGGGGAGAACTTGTTGGCTGGCTTTTCCAGGGCACAGCAGGCTCTCTTTGGGAGCGGAGACAGTACTGCTGAGCCCCAAACCATGATCTGTTCCTCCCCTCCAGATGGAGAGCAAGCAGATTTCCAAGTGCACAATGAGAGTTTCATTTCTTTCTTTTCTTTTTAATGAGGCAGTGTTAGGAAGGGGCTTGTAGTGGAGATGCAGGAACCCTGGGTGAGGATGAGGAGAATGGTATCATGGAGGAAGGAAGGTGGCAGGGAGGGGGTGAGAATTCAGGCAGTGACTCAGGCACCCACATCTATGCCCCAGCAAACAGCTGTAGGTCACATACAAGGACTCACCCTTACTCCCACCCAGCCCAGTCAGAGTTGCGTGTACACAGGGACACAAGTTCAGGCTTCCAAATACATATGCAAAGGACTCACAATCATACCCAGATACCTTGCAGTTGGCATGCGGCCCCCACATGTGCACATACACACTCTCAGCCGCACCAGCCGAGACCTCCCAGGACCTATACAAGCACTGGCGCATGCCCAGACACACCCCTCTGCCCTTGCACCCTGGGCATCTCAGACACAGGCCCCTTCTGGCTCCAGGCAGCCATCTGGGCTGGAGCCTAGAGACGGGTGGCGTTGTGGTGATGGGGCATGGCAAGGCGGGGGGAGGGTGTGGCAGGGGGAAGTTCCTCCAGGAAGACCCTGGCGGGCAGTGGGGGTGAGCGGGGCTCGGGCCTGGCGCAGCACAAGGTGGCGCGGGTGATGAGGCGGTCCAGGGGCTTCAGGGAGTGCATCCATGGGGGCAGGAAGTCCCACGTCTGCAGCCACTTGGGCAGGCACCCCGGGCTGCGACTCTGCAGCGCGCTGACAAGCACCACGAAGGCCAGCAGGGCCCCGAAGGGTGCGCCCACACCTACCATTGCCCGCCAGCCTGCCATGGAGAGCCCAAACACCATCGAGGGCAGCAGCAGGAAGCACAGGAGGAGGTAGAGGACGGCGAACCAGCGATACTTGGCCGTGCGTTTGCCCAAAGCCTTGGCCATGCGGATAGGCAGGCGCGTGCAGGGCACGGGGTACCACAGCAGGATGCCAGAGATGTTGAAGAAGAAGTGGCAGAGGGCAATCTGCAGGGGAGAGGGCAGAGGGGTGGAGGCGGGCACGGGCCCTAGCTCCCGAGTCAGGATTAGATGACAGGGGACCGCCAGCTCTGGGCAGCAGGAAAGTCAGCCCTCAGGGCTAGCATGCCCCCAGTGAAACACTGGCACACTTCCGGACCAGTGGGTACATAACTGCTGCCCTAAACCCTCCACATTTCCCCCCACTAACCCCTCAGGGGTTCCCCAGCAGATCCCATCCGGATCCAGGAGCTGAAAGATTCATACTGATTTCTGGTTCAGAAGCTCTGGCCTCCTGAGTGAGCAGCATCCTGGCTTATCCATTACTCCTTTGCTCCTAGAAGAGCAGCCTCTTTGCTGTCTGCCCCTCAGTCCTTGATCCCCCAGATGGAGCCAGGCCCCCTTTTAACAGCACCCCTTCCTTAGAAGGTGAATCCCGCTGACTCTTGTTCATTGATTGGCATGTGTGCGCGCACACACACTCAGTCGCGTCTGACTCTGTGTTCTCAGTAATGTCTCCCTTGTTAGACTCTAAGGTCTTGACGGTGGCATGAGGTATACTTTGCCCATATGATTTCCACAGAGTCTGGCACAGCAGGTGCCCCCTGCTAGGCAGTCAAAAACTGTTTGGTACACACTGTCTACACTGGGTCAGGCTTCCGGTGCCAGTCCTAGCCCTGTCCTCCCTCTGGCAGGGCTCCTCTCCCAAGCTCACCTGGAAAGCGCTGGACAGCTTCTCCCGGGGGCTGGCCAGGGCAGCCAGTATGGCCGTGGTGGTGGTACCGATGTTGGAGCCCAGGGTGAGCGGGTAGGCGCGCTCAATGCTGATCACACCGAGGCCTGGGGGCAGAGCAGAGGACACGGGCTCCACAGCACCCTCCTTTAGCCTTTCCCTGCCGGCCCCACCCCACCTGACCCTGCCTCCGTGTGAGGACTCACCGATGAGTGGGGTGATGGCTGAGGTGAACACAGAGCTGCTCTGGACGACAAAGGTCATGCTGGCCCCTACCACCATGGCAAAGTAGCCTGTGGCCCAGGTGAAGGGGCTGGGAAAGTCTGCAAGGAAACCGTCAAAGTAGGATCAGTGGGAGGGGATTGAGGGGGCGGGGACATTTCTTGGGGAGGAGGTCTCCGATGCCAGCTTCCAAGTGGCACCTTGTCAGTCTCCTGCTCAACTGCGGCAGCTTCTCCTGGTCCTCCTTGATCTTGGATTAAAGACCCTTCTTAGCCTGCTTCCATCATACTTTTTCTCCCTTGTTCCTTCTGCCTGGGATAGCTTCCTCACTCCTAAATATTCATGCTCAGGACTCAGCGTGGGTATCACTGCCGCTGGAGAGCCCTCCCTGACCCCAGCTCCCAGGCAGACTTTGCTTCTCCTTCCTCTGAACTCCCACAGATCCACAAATGCCCCTATTCCAGCACTTGTCATACGGCCTCTGCTCATGCCAGGTGGGGTCCCCAAAGCTCAGCATGAGGCCTAAATGAAAGTCAGATAGTGTCACTGCCCAAACCCCCAAGTGCCCCCATTGCCCTGGATCAAGTCCAGGCTCTAAGTGCAGCCTGCAGGGCCCTGTTACCTTGCTGACCTCTTCCTGCCTCTGTCCACCTCACTCACCAAGCTCCCACCGCAGGGCTGGCCACCTATCTGTGCCACAAGCCTGCACAGCCAAGTCCTGCCTCAGAGCCTTTGCATGTACTGCTCCCTCCACTCAAAAAGCTCTTCGGCCACGTCTGAATGCTTCATATTTAGGTCCCTGCTCAAATGTCACCTCTGCGCAGAAGCCACTGACCCCTAATCAAAAGCAACTCGTCCATATTCTATTTGCTGTTTTTGCTTTCTGTTTGGCAGTTACTGTTCTCTTTCATCTGAATTTATCCCCCCTCGATCATTTTTTTTTTTTTTTGGCTGTCTTCCCGTGTGTGCTGTGAGCCCCCTGAGGGCAAGAGGCAGCTCTGTGAGGCTCACCTCTGTACCCCTCACACCACTCTCTGCCTGGCACACGGAGGGGACTTGATGACTATTTGTTAATTGAATCAAACGATGGCCTCTGGGAATCCCTTTGGAGTCACCTGCTAAAACGGAAGCAGCCACAGATTCCCAGCTTGTCAGCATCTCAGAGACCTCATATATCATCACCCAGTCCAACCGCTTCTTTGTTCACATGGGGAAACTGAGGCTCAAAGATGGTAGGGCTTTACCCAGATCACACAGTATGGCAGTGGAAGGATTAACAAGGTCCAGAAGCCCGTCCTGGGGCCTGCCCACCCACTGCTCGGGGCTCACCAGTGTTGATGACCTTCTGAATGACCTTGGCCACCTGGCCCTTGAGCAGAGAGTTGAGCATCTTGACAAGGAGGATGAGACAGGTGCACAGGAGGGCCAGGGAGCCAGCCAGCAGGATGAGCCCCACAGCCAGGTCAGGCAGCCCCGTGTCCACAAAGATGTGGTTGCCTGTGGGGTGGGGGAGTGGTATCAATCTGCTGCCCCCTCAGTCCGGCTCCCAGCCCCCAACCTTTGCCACCCTCTTGGACTCAGAGCCTCCTGTTCCTTCAACCTCTACATGAGAGCCTGACCCCAGCCCAGGAGCTAGGCTGGCCAACAGCTGTCCTTCTGGGCTGGAAGCAGCAGTGGCCAGGTGGAAGATGGCCCTGCCTCTGCCAGGCTCTTCCCTGCTGGGCTGGACATCTCTCATACTGGGGGTACTCACACTTCTCCAGGGTGGCATTTCTGACCATCCGGCTGGTGTTGGCCTCTGCCCTGGGCATAGGAGTGGGAACCTAGATTAAGACGAGAGGTCAGTTCAGTTCAGTTGCTCAGTCGTATCTGACTCTTTGCGACCCCATGGACTGCAGCATGCCAGGCTTCCCTGTCCATCACCGACTCCCAGAGCTTGCTCAAATTCCTGTCCATCGAGTCGGTGATGCCATCCAATCATCTCATTCTCTGTCGTCCCCTTCTCCTCCTGCCTTCAATCTTTCCCAGCATTAGAGTCTTTTCTAATGAATCAGTTCTTCAAATCAGGTGGCCAAAATATTGGAGCTTCAGCTTCTGCATCAATCCTTCCAATGAATATTCAGGACTGATTTCCTTTAGGATTGACTAGTTTGATCTCCTTGCAGCCCAAGGGACTCTCAAGAATCTTCTCCAATACCTCAGTTCAATAGCATCAATTCTTCGGCATTCAGTTTTCTTTATGGCCCAACTCTCGATTCAGACATGACTGCTGGAAAAACTGTAACTTTGACTAGATGGACCTTTGTCAGCAAACTAATGTCCGTGCTTTTTAATATGCTGTCAAAGTTGGTCATAGCTTTTCTTCCAAGGAGCAAGCATCTTAATTTCATGGCTGAGATTGACATAACAAGTTTGGGAATGTGCATTCTGCGACTGGGACTAAAATGGGGGTTAGGGAGAGATGGGGGATGGAGAGGATACAGGTGGTCCTTGTGACTACCTGCCCCTGGATTCTTTGCCTGCCCTCTGCTTCCTCTAGTGATGAAATGGGGGTGAAACATCTGCCACAGGAGAATCCGGCTGCAGTTGGCCCTCAGAATACTCTACTCCATCAGCTCACTGATCTGGCTCTCTGCACTGACCGGGGCCTGCAGGGGCCTCCTGATCAGAGGGCGTCTTGTCCATGTTTCTCCCACCTCTCCTGGGCCCTGGATGCTGCTGACCATGGCCCACTTTTTCTGAAAACTCTCCCTTTCCCATCGTTTATTATCAATCCCTGCCTCAGTGCGCCCCTCTTCCCTGGTACCCTTGCCCCATCCTCTCCCCTCAGGCATCTTGCCCAAGTTCTGGAGTTTTCCTCAATTCCTTGTCCAGAGAGGATGGAGCAGAGGGCCCAGGCCCCATATTTCTTCCCTCCCCCACTAATGTAATGTCAGTGAAGAGGAGAGCGTTCCTGGGGAGGTTTCTTTATTCAGAGGGCCCAGGGCCAGGCAGGTAGCTTGACGAGGGGCTCAGGCTGTGTGGAGGTGTTGGGAAGCATGTTGGGCCTAAAGGGGCCCACAGCTGCTGAGCTCCAGGCCACAGTCACCATCCAGAGATGTAGCCCAGCTCAGCCAAAGGGCCTGCTTTTACAAGAGAAACCGCAACTCTAAACATGTAGATAAAATCTCCCAATCTGTAAATGTTGGCAACCACTTCAAGATGTACTTTACAATTCTGTGAAGGCCAGTCTGGCCTGGGGACCACTCCTTTGTAGCCTTCTTGAGTTGGGATTTTTTTTTTCCTGGCACAGCTTGTAGGATCTTAGTTCCCTGACTAGGGATCGAACCCAGGCCCTCGGCAGTGAAAGTGTGGAGTCCTAGTCCCTGGACGGCCAGGGAATTCCCCAAGGAGTTCTTTTTTAAAAATGCAACCTAAGGCTCCTTACCTTTCCCCCAGGATCCTGTCAGTGAAAGGAGAAAGTGGGCCAGGCTTGGCTTCAGAAAAGCCATGTCATGATGGATAACTTGGGTCCTGGAAAGGGGTAGTGACTCCTTGGGCCCCCAGCAAAATGCAAGAACCACAGCGTCTGTCACCACATTCTGCCACCTGCGGGAGCTGATATAGACCCTGGTCCCATTCTCCCTAGGGGGTCAGCAGCTCACACCCCTCTGACCTCCCTGGGTGCTGGGGGGAGGGGCTCAAGTGGGGTATGGCACTTGGGTTTACAGCTCTTTTATGTTTTATTTTAAACTGTGTCATTTAAAGATGTTAGAGATGGGTTTCTCTGCTCAGAAGATAAAGAACCTGCCTGCAATGTGGGACACCAGGGTTCAATCCCTGGGTTGGAAAGATCCCCTAGAGAAGGAATTGGCAACCCACTCTGGTATTCTTGTCCGGAGAATTCCATGAACAGAAGAGCCTGGTGGGCTAGAGTCCACGCTGTTTGCAAAGAGTCAGTGTGACTGAGTGACTAGCACACACGTGTTAGAGATAAGAACTATTTATGGCACATGACTTTAAGTTGGGGCTTATTTTAGTGGCATGTACTCCCTTGAGTGGAGCAGCGCACTCATTTGTGCACCCATACCTGAGCCCTGGAGCACCTTCAAGCCTCGGCCATAATCACAGGCTGAGAAATCAGAGAAAATGGTCTCTGATGGGCTTGATTGCAAAAGCTGGCTGGAAAGCAATGGTAACTGGGAGGGAGCCAGGTGTTTGCCATCAGGCAGATCTGAGTTCAGTCCTGCTTTTTATCCCAACTACCTTGCGCAGGTCATGCCACCTCACTGAGCCTGTTTTCTCTAAAGCGGGATAAGAAAAGAGCTGTGCTCAAACCCCAGCTGAACACTCCCAGCTGTGTGACGCTGGACCAAACATGAAACCTCTCTGAGCCTCCATTTCCTTGTCTGCAGCGTGCAGTCCATAATGTAGCCCACTTCTCCCCAGGGGCTAGTTGTGAGAAGCCTGGAAAAAGAAAGTGTGGAATTTATGTGCCTGAAGGGACAACCCAAACTAAGGAGACCTCTGGCAACTGAAAATGTGAAAGCGTTAGCTTCTCAGTCATGTCTAACTCTTTGTGAGCTCATGGACTGGAGCCCTCCAGGCCCCTCTGTCCATGGGATTCTCCAGGCAAGAAGACTGGAGTGGGTTGCCATTTCCTTGTCCAGAGGATCTTCCCAACCCAGGGATTGAACTCAGGTCTCCTGCATTGCAGGCAGACTCTTTGCCATCTGAGCCACCAGATTAAGCTCACAGAGGGATGTGAGCTCCAAGAATTCTCCCCCAACACCCTGGCAGGAGGTGGGGCGGGGAAATAAAGCAGTGTTCAGGCCAGTACTGCAGCCTCTCCTCCAGGAGAAGGGGTGTTCCAGGGTCTTTGTTCTTCCGGAAGCAGAGCGTGAGTGCTGTGCTAGTGGCGCCATCTGGTGGCGAAGAGGAGAATTCACTTTTACAGCCCTACCTATCACCCCGGAGGGTCTCCAAGTGGCTGTGGTCACCTGGTGGCATTCATGCCCGATAGGCAGAGTGGGCAATGGACACATAGGGTGGGACATACATCTGGAAGAGAAGTTGAAATGGAGAGTTGAGTGTGGGGTGTAGTTTCCTCCAGGACTTTGGTCCCCCCTCAGTTGCATAGACTTGGACAAACCTGTCTGAGCCTGTTTAAAATGGGGTTGTAAGGGACTTCCCTGTTGATCCAGTGGTTAAGAATCTGCCTGCCAAGGCACGGGACACAGGTTGGGTCCCTGGTCCTGGAACTAAGATCCCACGTGCCGCAGAGCAACTAAGCTTCTGCATCACAACTACTGAGCCATCGAGCTACAACTACTAAAGCCCGGCGCACCCAGAGCCCGTGCCCTGCAACAAGAGAAGCCACCACAGTTAAGAAGCCCACACACCACAACTAGAGCGTAGCCCCCGCTCACCGCAACTAGAGCGCCCACGTGCAGCAGCGAAGACCCACCGCAGCCAAAAAGTAAGTAAACTTTTTAAAATGGGGTTGTGATAATCCCTGCCTCCCAGGTTGCAAGTCTTTGGAAGAAGCTTCTTTCATCCATGCATGTAGGGTTGACAATCCACAGGGTGACCACACAAGAAGGTAATTCCCAGGACAGTGTCAGGACCCCCTGAGCATCAAGAGTTGTTGGAATACTAATACCACCTCTGGCTTTTTCTTTCACCATCTGGAAAATTCCAGACTGCCAATCAGATAGGTGCCCTGGAGGCTGGCTCAGGCAAGGTTGGGCCTGGCTTGGTAAAAGCTGAAGGCAGTGAGAACAGGTCAGAAGGGGCCACAGGGAGACTCAGTGGCCAAAGGAAAAATGTGCAGGAGGAACTGCCAGGGCACATGATTGTGAGCCACTTTCCTGAGGGGACGCAGAGAGAGGGCCAGAACCGGGAGCTTACCTCCCACCCCCTGCTACTCTCCAGGCCAAGGAAATTGTATCTGGACCCTGCTGTCAAGGAAAGGTTTCCCCAGGAGGGCTGGGATGAGAAACCAGTGAGCAGGCGAGTGGTAGCAGGAGCCATAGAGGAACATGTGAAGACAGGGAACAGGGCAGCTTGCTTCTGGTCGCTGGACCTCAGGTTCCAGGGGGATCATGTCCGCCTCACCAGCATCACTGAGGGTTCCATCAGGTGAGGGCCCCATTTGCATCCTGCAAAGGGAGACTGGCTGAATGCAGCTGCAGGCAGGCGGTGGGGATTTCAGTAAGCGAGGATCACCACAGCTGAGGAACTCCTTTCCACAACTCGCTTTTTGATCAAAGTGTGTGACTCTGGTCTTTCAGGGTTTGCAGTGAAGCAGAGGGGATTTTAGCGATTCAGAGCTCTCAGAGAGTGCCCAGAGTGCTTGTGAGAAGGAGAGACGTGTTAGTGGGGTCATAAAGCCACTGTAAAAGCTGTCCGCATGCGCTTTTTGATCTCGAACTGCCTGAACGCTCAGCACTGAGTTGGAGCTGTGTGCCACTCAGATGCAAAGGAAGCTTGCAGGGCCGGTTGAAAGAATGTTCTCTGTTCACGCTGGGATAAAGTCCGGGAACATCAAGTAGGGAGGGAAGATGCTGTGCTGTTTCCTCGTCTTTTGTTCTCAATGGTGTTACTTCTTGTATGTCACAATCAAGGGGAAGTAGATACTGTGGATTGTGGTTTTGATGAAGCATTTTCCTTTTTTGATGGCTGAATGAGGAAGTGCGGTAATTGCCTGCTTCCTTGTTAGCCTGGTATGATGGCTGGTCAATGAGTGTCCAACTGATCCAAACGGAGCCTCTTCCCAGGCGCGAGAAGCCAGGAAACAGCAGGAAGAACACACAGGACAAGGGGACACAGGCCTTTGGCAGTCTCCAGCAGAAGGAACCCAGTATCAGTACAAGTGGCTGTGTGTCTCCAGTGAGGTCTCCATGGCCTGCTTGTCCTGCTCCTGGGCTGGTTCCCTGTTGGTCTTGGTTTTCTCAGGCATCCTTGTAGCACTCTCTCCCTGCCCTTCTCTGCACATTAGCTGGGCCCCCAAACACGGCAGAGCTGTCACGAAGCAACTCCCTAGATCCCAATGGGGAGAGATAGCCCTAGACTGCAAGACCCACACTCAGGGCCCTGAAGCAGTAAAATAAGCTCTAAAGGGTTTTTTAGCCTCTTGGAGCCTATTTCTTTACCTGTGGAACCACAGAGTTGAGCCAGATCAGTGGTTCTTCAACTAGTCGGCTTGTTGAAATGTAGACTGCTGGGAACCACCTGATTTTTATTTTTTTCTAATTTAGTGAGTCTAGGAAAGGGCCAGATACTTTGTCTCTAGTGGGTTCCCAGGTGATAGGTGTGCCATTGGCCCACATTTTGAGAACTGATATCTGGGCTAATTCAATGACATGCTAACTCTAATTGATTAGCAATGGCTGCCTAAAGCTGGTGTGAGGCAGCAAGGGTATAGCAATATCCACCACAAGGTGCAATATCACAGCAAAAGTGCCCCCTGCCTGTCCTCCCCAGCTAAAGGATTGCCAAGGTCTCTACAGAGCTTTTGAACAGACCATGACTCTAGCAGTCAGCTGTCTGAAGAGGGAGTCTTCTCACCGAGGCTGGACCCAGTACTCACCTCTGTGGGATCTGGGTGACACCAGACACGGATGAGGCTGTGATTTCTCAGGGACTCGTCCCCGGAGGCAAGGCTGGTAATCACAGACTTGTCCAGCTGTGGGCAGTGTGGGCGGTGGGTGTGAGGGTGTGGTCCTACAATCCCCCGGGCCCCCACCTCACACCCGCCCTGCCGCTACCTGGATGATGAGCTTAGTGAAGGGCTCTGTGATGATCTTGAGCAGGTCAGGGGCATCGCGGCCGCCGCGAATGTTGAAGGAGGCCACCACAAGTCGAGTGATGTGGTGCAGGTACCCTGTGGCAGCCTCCAGGGGCAGCAGCACCAGAACTGACAACCAGTTAAAGCAGTCGTGTATGGTGGCCCCCGCGAAAGCCCTGGGCAGGGAGGCCACATTGCAGGGCAGGCTGGAGCCAGGAGACGCTCAGACTAGGGGCTCCTGGTATGGGGGACCACCCTCCCCTAACAAGGACAGGCCCCTCACCACTCCCCCCTCACCGCCGGAAGTCAGTTCTGTCCCCCGCCTGCATCAGAGCCACGATGGTGTTGGTGACAGAGGTGCCGATGTTGGAGCCCATGATGATGGGGATGGCAGAGCTCACCTCCAGCACTGGTAGAAGAAGGCAGAAACTGGGAGGGGTGGCCACCCAACTCCTGCCCCCACAGTTCCTCCTGTCAGACCCGTTGCCCACATCCCCGCCCCAGCAGGCATTCTTGCCACGCTGCTGACTCTACTCAGCCTTGGCATCACAGGTACGAGGGGCATGTGCTATGTGCATGCATGTAAACTGACGTTCACATAGGCATACTGCCGCTGCGAATATGTGAATGTGTGTGTGGGTATGTGTCAATGAGGACACGGGTCCTATATGCAATTGTGCCTCTGTGCTTGTGTGTGCACATATATACACGAGTATGATGTCAGTTTCATGTATCAGCTTGGCTAGTACCCAGTTACTCAATGGAACTCTGATCTAGATGTTGCTGTGATTTCCCTCAACCATCAGTTGACTTTAAGGAAATGAGATTAACCTCAGTAATCTGGGTAGGCCTCATCCAGTGAGATGAAAGGCCCCAAGAGCGAAACTGAGGCTTCCCCGAGAGGAAATTCCACCTGTGCCCTGCAGTATCGGCTTTTGCCTATGAGTTCTGGCCTGCCCTTCCCCGTGGCCTGCCCAGCCTGCCTCGCAATCACGATAGTCAGTTCCTGGCAATAAATCGTAGATGTCTCTATGCCTCCTGCAGGCTTTGTTTCTCTGATTCCTCTGGTTCTGTCCCCTCAACTGATGGAATGAGTGACTGTGTGGCGACGTGGAGGTGAGCCTTCCTGGGCCTGTACTCCCTACTTGCCACCCTTCCCGGCTCCTGGGCACCCCACCTGGCTGAGACTCGAGGCCACGCTTTGGAGAATAGAGTGGGAGATGCCAGAGCTGCCCATTGTCCTCTGCCCCTGTCTCCTGCTCTTCCCACCCAGAGCCCCAGGCCCAGCATCGAACCACCCCCATCCCCCGCACTCTCCCTGACCCTGGTGGGGCCAACTCACAGCCAGAGGAAACCATGCTGACCACAATGGACGTGGAGGTGCTGGAGCTCTGTACCAGCACAGTCACCAGGATCCCCACCACCAGGCCCGCCACCGGGTTGGACAGGATGGCGTTGTCCTTGAAGATGTCGCCCGCCACCTTCCCTGAGGAACATAAGCCAGCATTGTCCGAGACGCTTCGGGCCCCTTCCCTGGCCCCCTCCCTTCCGCCCTACCTCCAGCCAGCTGGAAAGCCGAGCTGAGCACATCCAGGGAGCAGACGAAGAGATAGAGGAAGGAAAGCATCAGCGGAACCTTGAGGAGTGTCACGCCAGCCCGGTGCAGTTTCTGGGCCAGTCCAGGTTCTGGAGATGGGTGGTTGTGAGCACAGGGGCTCGAGTGTTCTGCCAATGACCGCCAACACCCCTGCCACCCCAACCCAGGCCCACCTGGCTTCCGCTCATCCTCCAGGGCCAGCTTGGCAGGCAGTGGGTCGTGGCGCTCCACAACCTCCCCGTAGGGGCAGCCACGCTCTGGGAGGGCCACAGGGCCCACGCTGGGGAAGCCGTAGGCTGAGGTCCCTGGAATCCTGTGCAAGACTGGGGACGGGGCTGATCAGGGTTTCCCTGGGGCCCCATTTCCCAGGGAGGGTTGGAGGGGTTGGGCGGAGGGCTAGAGACCTCCCTCCGGGGTGGGGACGCACGCAACAGAGGGCAAACAGGGCCCGGGGTGGGAGTAGCACTCACCCTGTGGGCTAGGCACATAGGCAAAGGCCGCTCCATGCATCATGTGCCCCCCACGAACTGGGAGTGGGGAGACAGCCCGGCCCCCCAGCTTCTCTCCATAGGACATCATCTCAGGTGCACGCTGTGAGCCTGTGCGTCAGAAGTATAGCAACACTGAGTGATGACTGCTGAGTCCCGGAAACTGACACACACTCACACACTCATCCCCCTACATCCGCACCCATACACCAGCTTGCACAAACGCCCATGGTGTGTGATCCCGAACACACCCCCAGCGAAGCACACCCTCCACCACCACACACACCCAAAGAGGCACATGGGTGCTCAGCACAGATTTGGGGATTCATTCATTCAGCAAGTATTTATTGAGCATCTACTCTTTCTCAGGCACTGGGCTCGATGCTGGAGTTCAGCTAGCTAAATACAGATACAGCTTCTGCCCCCAGGAAGCTCAAAGTCTAGCAGAGAAACAGATGTCAATGAAATAATCCCTCAGATCGATGGAACGTGGCAACAGAAACAAGCATTCTCATGACAGAGGAAGGTACCACCAGAGGTGTCCCAGAGGTAGAGGGGTTCACCCTCACAAGTGCACCTCTTTCCCTATCCATCCCTACCCTCCCCCGCCCCGCCCCAGCAATAAACAAACACTGATGGGACTTTCGGCCATGTATGAGGCTAAAACCAGGATTGGTTTAGTTAAGGAGGGTCCCCACCCTGACCCCAAGTCTGGGAAGTCTCCAATTTGCTTTAGGACCCCTGGAACTGCCCCAGGAGTTCTCAGCGGCTGTTGGGGTGGGAGTACCCCCGTCTACTTCAGCACCCCCACCCTCCACCCCCAACCTTATTCCAAGGGTCCTGACTGTTGGGGTTGGGGACCATGCAGAGCTGAATTCCAAGCCCTCGAAGAGCATGAGTCCATTCTACAGACTCTGAGGCAGTGAGCCAGGCTGGGCTGGGACTGAGATGTTACAGGGGATGGGAATGGGAGCACAGTAAGGACAGAGGTGAGGGGCCCATTTTCTGCTAAGATGGGGATGGGATTGGGATGTGGGGACTCTGGACTCACCTTAGTGTTCTGTGTTTCAGCTCCTGCCCAGCAGCTCAGGGAAGCCCTAGGAGCCTGAGGAGAAGCTGGGACCTTCTCTTTATACCTTTGGGTCAAGGGCAAAGTCCCTAGAATCCTAGCTTCCCTCCCTCTGTTCCCCAATTAACTTCATCCCGGAGATTCCTCCTGGTTAATTGCTAATCGTCAGTTCTGCAGGGGGAGTCTGTGAATAGGCTCTTTCCTCTCCCACACAGATACCCAGCCTGAACTGTGATTTAACCACCAAGGAGGGCACAAATGATCCCATGTCCCTAGGCAGAGACCCTGATGCCACTCAGGCACCTCATTCCCAGAGTCCCCAGAGATGCCATGGCTCTGGCCTCTTTCCCTCATCCTTGGCCTGACAGTACTCCCCAGGAGGTAACCCAAACACACTTTATACTTGCTTTGCCTCTGGGTGTCCTTAGGGACAGTCGAAGGAGAGAGACTGTGTGATGGAGGAAACAACAGAAGACAAACTCCAAGGGGCTGTGTAGTGCTCAATCGTGGGGGGTCCATGACCCCAGATCTGAGATATGACCCAAGAGAATGAAGCCGCTACCTGGATGGGGCGGGGCTGGTCTGCATTTTAGAATGGTCCTGGGTGTGGAAGGGTTGGCATGAGGCAAGGGGAGTGAGTCTGGAAGCAGAGAGACCAGGTAAGAGGGTGATAAGATGGTCCAGGTGAGAGAGGATGAGGTCCAAATCTAACTGGGAAGAAAAGGAACAGAGAGGAGAATGTGCGCTCCTGGGATGCTTTTTATTGAAATTTGAAATTGTTAGACCCTAGTTGTATTCTTTGCAGCCCCATGGAATATACAGCCCATGGAATCTCCAGGCAAGAATACAGAAGTGGGTAGTCATTCCATTCTCCAGGGGATCATTTCCGACCCAGGGATCAAACTCAGGTCTCCCGCATTGCAGGCGGATTCTTTATTGTCTGCCCAAGGAGTTGTTATGTTTGGGCAGAACAACTGGTGTTGGGGAGGTGGGTGGGAGGGGAGGTATATCACAGCTGGGTTTCTGGATCAAGAAGCTGATGATGACCTGAGGTCTCTTGAGGAGTCCCTGAAATGCAGGGAGTCTGAAAGTTTCTTTCCCTTTTGTAGGACCTTGAAGCCTGAGTTGGGGGCCCATATTCACATAGGGACATGTGATTCCCTTCTAAGGGATTTAGATTTTATCAGATCCAGGACTGGTGAATTCCATTCAAGATCTAGCTTGGGCAACTGTCTGAGCAACCTAACTTCCACCCAGTCAGCTACGTGTCTATCCATTCATTTCTAAGAACAGTAGTTGAGTTCTTATTCCATGCTGAGCCAAGAGCTAGCTTCTCTCTTGATCCAAGAAACAGTCCATTCCCTGAGTGGTCCTGGGATCCTAAGTCCTCACCTCTCTGAGCCCTAGTTTCTTCACTTATAAAATGGCCATGAGTATGGATTTGTCTGGGAGCTGTAGGACTCAATGAGCTAAATGACCCGTCTCAGTGCCTAGAACAAAGAACCTCAGCATGTTTGTTCTCTTCATGCTTTCATGCCCTTTTCACTGTTTCTAGGATGGTTTAAGTGTCCCTGCCAAAAAAATGGCCCCAACTTCTCTAGATTCTCCGCCCTGTTTCAGGTCAACAGCTCTTGGCTCAATAGCCCTCTGATTGCTCAATATCTTACACATCTTAGGGTGACACTGACCCAGCGTTTTCCTTCAAGGAGGATGGACATTTTTGTCCACTTCCCTCTTTAATATTAGTGCTTAATTTGCAGAGTGCTGTGGAATTATCCACTGCGTAGAGTTCACAATAGACTATTGAGGTGCCTAAGAGCAAGGAAACAGGCCAACCTGCGTTTGGATCCTAGCACTGCCACACTGCGGCCATGGTAGTTCAGGCCACAAAACCCACAAGGGTGCAGGGGATGGAGGCGTGGCTGGGGCTGGTTTTGAGTAGAGTGATCATGAATCCCGGTTTGCCCAGCCACGTCTGGTTTATGACTGTTGGCCCAGAGTCCCCTTTCATTTTGCAAAGTGCCCTGGTTTGGAGGATAAGCCATATGGCTTGTTCTGGAAGATTCAGAGGAACTAAGGCAGGGAATCAGCCACTGGGTGCTTACTAGAAGGGTCTCCATTCAGAGCAAAAGGAAAATAAAAGCAATCCTGTTGCCCAGAAACATCCCTGTGGTGTCTAAGACATTGCCTTTCATCTTTTTCCCTGTGCCTATTTTGGATTGTCTCTAGAAGACTGCATCTTGCTTTCTTTCTTCTAGCATTCTAACACAAGCCTTTTCCTCTGTCTTTACACTCAGCACACATATTGTTTTTAGTGATTGCATCACATTCAGTCATGAACCCTAACTTACATGTTGAACCTATGGGTGTTCTAGAACCTCTCTTACTTGGAAGAAGTGATTTGGGTAAGATTGAGGTTCATGCACCGGTGGAAGGGGTGTTGCTTATCCAGGGAAGCGCAGAGGCCCTGATGGGTTTGGAGATTGTCTGGGTACAAACATCCCCACCCACAGTGGTTTCAGGGACCCCCGCCCACAGGCATGGTCCTCTCTCCTGTCTGCCCCAGTCAGGCTCCGGGCAGGAGCAGTGGTATCCAGGGTGCTCCTTATGAACTGGAGGCACGTCTGCTTTTTAAGAAGGTTTGGATCTTTGACAGTTTTGAAGCCTACCTTCCCTGCCCTCAGGGAGCTCAGGGTTTAGCAGGGGGAGGCAGTTATTAATGAAATGTCTCACAGGAGATACAATTACAAAATGCTGTGGACATCCATCAGTTCCAAAGACGTTTTTTTGGGGGGGAAGGGGCTCCTTGGGTCTTCCCCGGTGGCTCAGAGCTAAAGAATCCGCCTGCCAGTGCAGGAGATGCAGGAGACACAGGTTCGATTCCTGGGTCGGGAAGATCTTCTGAAGGATGGCATGGCAACCCACTGCAGGATTCTTACCTGGAGAACCCCATGGACAGAGGAGCCTGGTGGGCTACAGTCCATGGGCTCACAAAGAGTCAGACATGACTGAAGTGACTGAGCCCGCACGCATGGGGCTGCCACAGCCCTAGCAAAAGCATAGAGGTGGTCAGAACTGCCTTTGGGACTTTTGAGAACAGTGGAGAAGGTGGCCACACCCCAGCCCCTAAGCCTCTCAGCCCCTCTGCTCATCTCAGCTTCTGCTCACAGCCTGCCTCCTCCCTGTCTATGACAGATTCTGTGTGTTCCCTGAATGGTGAGTCACACCGTGTCTGCTCACCGCTACTCCAGCCACGGCCTCCCCCAGACCTCTGGACCTGGAGCCTGGGTGGTTGGCGGTGTCTCACACTGAGAAAAGCCACCCAGGAGGAGCAGTTTTAGAGGGAAGATGCCAAGATCTGTCTGTTCTGAACTGTACTGCTGTGTCCGAGATGTCTCTGGTGCAAGCAGTTGGAGCTGTGGGTCTGAAGCACATGGCGTGCTCTTACCCCCACATGGGGCCTCCTGCATGTTCTGACCTCAGTGAGCAGCACATGGGCCAGACACAGACCCAGACCTGGAGCAGGCATCTTTTTTTTTTTTTAATATGTATTTATTTATTTGGCTGCACCAGCTCTTAGTTGCAAGCATGTGGGATTAGTTCCCTGACCGGAGCTTGAACCCAGGCGCTCTGCATTGGGAGTGTGGAGTCTTAGCCACGGTACCACCAGGGAAATCCCCAGGAACAGGCATCTTTGACATGTGTTCTCCGCCACCTCCTGGTCTCAGATCCATCCCCCTATTTTCCCAATTTTCCTTTTCCAGGAGCTCCCTAATCCTTCTGCCACCTCCCTGTCCTGGCCACCATTTCTCAGCGGCTTAGTGCAATAGGCTTTCTGTCCAATGGCTCCCCCCAGTCCAATCTCCAGAAAAACTGCCAGCCACCTTTCAAAAGGCAAATCTCACCATGTCACCCCTGTTGCTCTTAAATCCTGTCCCTGCTAGCTTTTAGACCAGCATCCGGTCACAGCTCGGGGCCCAGTGTGACTTGACTTACTGCCTGCATGGCCTCAGGTGAAGATGCCCCCAGGGAGAGTGGGCCCAGTGAGGAGAGACCCAGCCGAGCACCTGTGTTTGAGGGAGGACACAGGACGAGGTAGGGACCTCGTCCGGGAGGGACCGGGAGGAAGAGCAGAAAAGCAGGAGCCCCAGAAGCCAGGATCGCCCATGTTTTGAAAGAGACACCCTGGTCAGCATGATCAAATACTGCTGAGATGTCAGGAAAGGTGAGAACAGGGCAGACTGAGTGACCTGGGAGAGCTGAACCGGGGCAGTGCTGGGCAGGGGAAGGAGTAGGAGGTAGGAGCAGAGACAGTGTAGCTAACACGAATGGGACAGGTGACAGACTTGGAATTTCATCCTGTGGATGACAAGGGCCTCTCTAGGAGTCGCATAGTTGCTGAATGGAGTGGAGAATGGTACCAAGAGCCAGCGTGTGGATCAGAAAGAGTGCGAGCCTTGGGATCCGGCACAGCCAGCTCTATTTCTGCAGTTCTCTGTTGAGATTCATTTTCTCCTTAAATACACACTGTTTGCTTCACATGTTTTCTGTGGGACCTAAAGTTTGACAATAATCAAAGGAGGAACAACTAACATTCCAGTCCATGGGGTCGCAAAGAGTCGGACACGACTGAGGGACTAAACGCTGCACCGCACTGGGTCTTCATTGCAGCTCAGGCTTTTCTCTACTTGCGGTAAGCGGGGGTTACTTGCTCACTGCTGTGGCCTGGCTTCTTACTGTGGTGGCTTCTCTTGTTGTGGAGCATGGGCTCTGGGGCACACGGGATTCAGTAGTTGCAGCTCCCAGGCTCAAGAGCACAGGCTCAGTAGTTGGGGTGCACTGGCTTGGTTGTTCCACGGCATATGGGATCTTCCCAGATCAGGGATCAAACCGTGTCTCGATCATTGGCAGGAGGATTCTTTACCACTGAGCCACCAGGGAAGCCCTGAACCGGACTTTTTGAGGGGACCTGGTTAATGACCACAAGAGGGTTTCCCATCAGCACAGTTTGGGGAACTGGTGCCTCTTCTCATCCACATTGATTCATTCAACCAACATATAAGCCCCACAGAGGCAGCGCAGAGCTGTATAC